TGTTCCCAAGGATCTTGTCGGCCGCGACTTCTTGCCCAGGGGTATGGTAATGATTTTTGCACTAGGAGGTCTCTGGTGTTGCAACTCGTGCAGACTAAGAGGAAGTATGATGGCATTGAAGAGGAGTAAGAGGAGTTCCTCCACTTGCCTGGCAAGGTGTTCTACGATTTCTTCTCAAAGGGAGATTCAGGTTCTTTATCATCATCATCATCATATGTAAAAATTGTATATTTTGCTTTTTGTTTGTTTAGCTTGACCATGCTAAAATAGGATTAGGAGCTTTTAATGTGCCATTTTTAATGACCGTTCTAATATCTCAATTTTGTTTTTTATTTTTCTTTGAATCATTAGTTTCTACATAAAATAAGAGACATTTGGATATCTTGATGTCCCAAAATGGTGAAGATTTATATTTTTTATGATTTTTTAAAAATAAAAGGATGTATTTGTAATATTTTTTTTTAAAAATCATAAAAAATACAAATCTTTATCATTTTGGAACATCAAGATAAGGGTGTTCACGGGACGGGACGGGACCGGGACACCCCTGTCCCGTGTCCCGTCTCGGAAAAAAGATCAGGATTGAATTTTGATCCCGTGTCCCGTCCCGTCCCGAAAGTCGTCTCGTCCCGTTAAGAGTCGGGACGGGACCAGGACAAGATCGGGACGTCCCGCCGTCCCGATAAATGAGATAATATCGAAAAAGATCTGGATAATAATGTTCATTAAAATTTTAAATTATATAATTTATTAAGTTTAAAATCAAAATAACACAAGTACATAAATAACAATACTTTAAAATCAATTATTGAATTATATTAATCACAACTACATATTATAATAAAAAATACAAGTGATCTTTATGCTATAAGATTAGCAACAACAGGCAAGTCAAATACAACATCAAATAATTGTTCTTCTATTTTAGTGAAGATGTACTAAGCTAATTACTCTTCTAAAAATAAGCAAGAAGTATGTTATAAATAAAAGCTATTAAATAGATAGATATAAGAATAAATTATATTAATATAATTAATATATTATAAAAAAGATATCGCTATGTTTACTCTATGTCATTAAAATTATCAATATAAAAACACTTTAGTTTTAAATAAGAATTGTAAGTATTAAAATTATAATTGATATAATTAATATAAGTATAAATTATATTAATATAATTAATATATTTAAAATAAAAAATAATATATAATATTCGGGACAGGACGGGACGTCCCGATAGTAATCTTGTGTCCCGTCCCGTCCCGAACCCCTTTCCTGTCCCGTCTTGTAAAGTCTCGTCTCGATTATTTTCGGGTCGAGACAAGACCCGTCCCGATATGATCGGGACGATACCGGGCCAATCGGGATGGGTCCAGATTGAACACCCCTACATCAAGATATCCAAATGTCTCTTATTTTATGTAGAAGCCAATGATTCAGAGAAAAATGAAAAACGAAATTGGGACATTAAAACATTATAAGGAACATTAGAGAAGGGCACGTTAGAGGCCCCTGGCCCGCTAAAATATGGAAGCTATTTGTGTTTTAGTTGCTGAGAAATAAGTGTGAATGTAGGATATTGAGTGGAAGTGAATTCGTTAGCATTTCAAGTTATGATTTACTGTTTAGGAGATATAATTTGTTGTTATTGGATATGAGAAGTTCGTTTCTTAATGAGTTTGGGATGCTTGCGGACCTGGAATCTAGTTTGACCCTTGAAATCAATGCCAACTGGTGCAGGAGAGGGAGGCAAATATTACAAAGTAGATTGGGAAGGTGAAGCTTGGAGAGATAGAGAGAGAGAGAGAGAGAGAGAAGAGGTGAGGTATTGAGGTAGAAAGAAGAAAGGAGAGGAGGTGTTGCCGGCGATGCAGCGACGAGATGAGGAAGGAGGGAGAAGAATTGCACCCTTTTTTAAAGTTAGTGGCGGTATTACTCCAACAAAAAAATCAAGGATGCCACGTCCTGTCAAAAAATTCCAAAGCAATTTTATCTTTTCACCCTTGAAAATAAAGTCAATTTTTATTATTCAATCTTCGAAGTCCCCTTATTATTATTATTATTATTGTTATTTTGGGACAAGCCTTTGTTGAGTATAATTTTGCGACACACTTCCATTCATGACAATTTACAGAAAGAGTTCCAAGATTTTAAACAATTTGTCTTCATCATTGGAAGACAAACATCGAAGTTTTCAAAATTTTTGAAACACTTCCACATTATCTAATCACTTACTGGTGTGGTTTCAACTGGTTGCCATTCGTGGCTCCATCCAGTTAAATATACTTTCATTCCGGTCAATTAGTTGAAGATCAAGAATGCTTAAATTTCGAGTAATTTCCCTTCACTTCAACTACAACTTATATATATTTTACCTTGAAACATATGTATTAGCTAGCTTGCTAGAGGATCATTATAATAACCATAGCAAAGCATCAAACAATTTCATAACATATTGAAGAATGTAGCGCTAAAAGTAATAACCATCATAAAAAGCATGAGTGAGTGGGGTGGAGTAAAAAAAATTGAGAAAAGTGGTAGAAAGGAGAAGAGGGAAGCTTAGTACACTTAACTTGATTAGTTTCAAATTGCTCCCAAACCTTCCACTTAGTACGCCCTAGTAGAGCTCTTCACATCTTCTTCATTTCCTCTTTTGTTCCTTTCAATTTTGAGTATGATTCTCACTCTAATTTTATAGAATTGTGATTATGTGCATGTGGTAAAGAGAAGCTTGATTCTCATTCTAGTGACTTATATGTGCTGCGACGTCTCGTACACATGGCATGTGGTACAGAATTATTTTTCTTCGTTTTTGTACTTTTTAATGTCCGAGTGACTCAACTCCACTTCGAACATGAATTTAGAGCTGAAATCATAACCCAAAACACTCATTAGATCTCTATGACTATACACCATATTAATTTACCAAATTACCATCATCTAACTAAGTTAATTAGGGTCTAATTTTTCAAGATATTACACCTAAAGTCTTTTGGGTGAATGATCATGATGGAGGACATTGGAATACAACACATGTAGTTGAGAATGGCTTTGCATCTTACACATGCAGGCATCATGCTGTTGGTTCTCCCTTTAGTCTTACCAGATCATTCTTCTTTTTCTAACCTTGGTTTTGTAGCAAGTTCATCTGGACCCATCATTGCTCTGCATCGACCTTATGCATGCAAGCGCAAATATCCTTTGTTCTATGATGACAAAACATAGCACCTGTGGCAGATTGGTTTTCATGAAGTTTTCACATTAAAAAAAAAAAAAATTCTGTTTGCTTGGATGATTGCACTGTGGACCTTTGTTGGTAGCAGCATTGTAACGGTCCAGAAGACAGTGCTGCAACTTTTGGTGTTTCATCTTGCCTAACTTCGTTCAATTTTTTTGGCGTCTTTTATCATGTGTGTCTTTTCCATTCTTGTATATGATAGCTTATTTCATCTTATTTGTGAATTTACAAACATGGTTTTTTCTATATCCAATAATCGGAGGTTTTTCTATATACAAACATGGGAATTCTTCTCCTCCTTTTAATGGAGGTTAATATAACTAAAGTATATAATAATTCCTTTTAAAATAATAATTAATTTTCAAAATTATCCAATAATCGGAGGACTGGGGCACTGGGCACCTCTATAATTTTTGTGTTTATCTATACTTTCTTATCTTATAAAATATTGAAAAAGTCATTAAATGATGAAATATTTTATTTTGAAAGTATGTATATTTAATAGAGATAAAATTAAAAATTTGTTAATTTTTTGATAGAGTTAATAAGATTTAAATTGATTTATAAATAAGATTGAATAAATCAGTAAGTTTCATGAAAACACGCTCATAGTCCGCAATGCTTGTTGTTGTTGACTTGCAACGGAGATCATCATCAAATGGGATCCTCACGGGAATCAACCAAAAGCTCGTAAGCAAAGATCTTTCCATTACAGTACGATCACCTTGTACAATTTGTTGCAGCACACAGTGGTCACAACACAATCAGAAATATAACAAGCCGAGTTAACTTGTCCATGTTGTTCCACTTTCTTTTTCTTTTTTAAGGTTTAGCTTTTGCTATACACACACGCAACAGAAATATTTTTAACCAAATTTTAAATCATTTGTCTTCATTTTTCATACACTAACTTCCAATCTCTCTCTTGCTCTCTCATAGACTCAAGATATATAAATTCAGGAACACATTAATTTCCTGAAAATTCCCAATCCAAATTCTAGAATTGATAAAAGGGAAATTATAGAACTACAAGAACATCGAAATAAGGAGACAAAAGGGAAAACCATCATGGAATTGTAGAAGGGAGGAAGAGGAAATCCACAATCACAATGAAAATAGCCATAGAGAAAGAGGAAGCATTGTAGAAAGTGTTCACAAAATTCTTAAATAACCTTTTTTATGTCCTAACTCTTCTTTAAATATTCTCAAAACACCAAGCCCATTAACCATTTGATGGCCCATTCTACTACTCAAAGCTCATAAGTCTATTTGTTGCCGCCATTATTGTTATTGGACCCATTCATAACATACATTCCCATGAAATGGACCTTATCTTCTACTTCGAAGTAAAAATAAAAATCATATTAACATGCTTCTCATTTTTAGAAATAGGTGGATCAATACCATTCCAACAAACTAAAACGACGTACCCCTTATAAAAGCAATTGGAGGTGATTGATTGAACAATCATATAAAAAATAACCCACCTATTTCCCATTTTTTCCCACATTATAATATATATATATATATATATATTATAAATTCTATGTTTAAATTATCTTACTTATTTTCTAAGTTCTTGATCCTCAATAAATGTTCTATAATTTTCTCCGTCTCGAAATTTTCTTTTTATCTATCGAAATTGTTTATAATTAATTTGTTGTCTAATGATTAAAAACTAGGATCTTACGCCCTCGATGAATTTATGTGTGGGCTTTTCTAAACAAAATTAATTTAATCACCAATTAATGAGACAAACACATGACAATGCTAAGTAGCACAATGATTTTGTGAATGTGTCACTAAGGTTTATAAAAATTACAGATTAACTTAAATATTTTTTAATTTGCATTAAAATCCAAGGTTTTCTTAATCGCATAGGAAGAGACTTAAATAACTCATATTTTCTTCCATCACTGGTCAGCATATCATATGTTTGCAGCAACTCAGTGTCTTCTAAGTCTGGAACTTGAAAAAGTTCTTCAAGTATCTTCTCAGGGTTTGTTTTCTCAGACTCTATTGAGTAGGCCTCGGAAATAGTATTAACCACAAGTGTGTCACCAGCAATAGGATTTCTCTCCCATGAAGGATTCTGCTTTGGGGAGGAAACTTTTATGCCATCAATTGAATCATAAGAGCAAATTATTTCTTCCTGAGACTCAACCACAAGACAAACAATGATGCAAACAATGAAATTCACATTCCCTTGTGTATTTCAATAGAGGAATGATATTTTGGCCCCTTGCAAAAGAATTATTAATATTTTGGTCCCTAGCTAAGTCAAGAAAAAGTTAATACTTCATATCATAGACTCATAGTTGTCAAGCTTAAAAATGTTATAATTTCAAGAGATCAAAGGATCAATGTTTCTCATATAAGGGACCTTAAATGTCATTCTTTCTCCCCCCCCCAGGGGATAATCGCTATTTCAATTGTGAATGTATATATAAAGTTTTGTTCATCCCACTGGATTCTAATATCCCTGAGATCATGCTTGGTAATATGGAGTCATTTGAGAGGAATGAAGATAGAGAGGGAGAGAAGGTTCCATGCTTCCCATATTTGAGGGAAGTACTAGTTCTTTGGAATTTTAATTATTTGCATCAAACAATTAAGAGGGAGATTTCTCTCTCCTTCTTCCTTCCTTGAATTTTCCTTCACTCAAACCAAATATGACCTGAATTGACCCAAACATATTTTCATAGCCAGCCAAGAATGGAATCACAACTAAATAAAATTCATGATTACATTGTCGTGTATGGATTAATGCAGATTTGTATTTAAATTTAGATTTGAACCAAATCTCTCATTTGGAGCCTTTTTTTAATACTCATTGTAATGTTCTAATTTTCAAATTTTATTTTTTTTTGAAGAATTGGCTTCTGTATAAAATAAGAGATATTTTAATATCTTAAGTCTTGAAATGATGAAAATTTGTATTTTTTTACAATTGTTAAAGAAAATTATCATAATTACATCCTTTTATTTTTGAAAAATTATAAAAAATACAAGTCTTCATTCTTTCGTGACTGCAAGATATCAAAATATCTTTTATTTTATGTAGAAGCCAATGATCTAAAAATAAAAAAATAAAATTAAAAAAGTAGGGTATTACAAGGGGTATTAAAGAAAGATAAATTATATGCTCTTAGCTCATATATGAGAGTAACAAAAGCCTTGATAGTAAAAACATAAAGAGAACAAAAGAGTTAGGGTGATTGAAATTTCAAATAATTAATGTCTAAAAAAATTGAAATTTAAAAAATTATAATAAAACATGAATTTAGATTTTGAGAATTGGATTAATTAAATCTATAGACATTTATGCATTATAATATCGTTCTTGTCTTTCATTATTTAAAAGATAGGACTCGCGACTTCAAGTATTTTGTTTTTATTTTGAATTTTAATCCTTCTCCTTTCTTCCTTTGAAATTTTTTACACTGTCTTAAAAAGATTTTAAATACATTGATTTTAAATGAGATTTTAAATTCAAATTTCTCATTCCTTAATCTAAATGCTATCAATTAAGAAGAATTTCAGCAAATATGCCTAAAAGAAGTCTGGCATATGAACCATGAAGGATGTGAATAAGAGGAAGATACTACGGAGTACATGTCAGTTCTTATAAGCACCATACCTCAATAGTCACACTCTCATGTGGATGGCAGTTCGATGAAGAAGGTGATTCGATGGCAGCAGGCGGCTGTGCTGTGATGGCTGGATTTGCAATGACGGGAGCAAAGTTCTGTTGTCTAACTCTGCGTTGACCAAAGCACATCGGTAAAGTCAAAAGCATTAACTTCATATCAGGAAATTTTAAATTGAGGCCACAATTTTTGATTTCAAATCACGATCCAAACTTTGAAATTTATCATTAATAAATGATGATAAGATCACATTTCTTTTATACTTACATACAGTACCTTGCATTGTGAGTATTGAATCGCATCTTCTTCTCACCACCCCCTACAACTTCAAACCATCCTTGTTCACAAACATGCATAGCATAATCACAGTTTCTCTCAGGACTAACACTGAGCCATGAACCATACATAGGTTTTGTAGGATCCATCACTGCCATCTCCCTTTCTGCATTGCAGATTCTCGAATCATGCCCTATAAATCCACACTTGCAGCAAAGATTCTCGAGTCTTTCATACCTCACTGAGCTCCATAGCTTTGGCAGCTCTGGTCTCAAAATCCAAAACCCTGTCACTAGTGGGCGACTTAGATCAACATTGATCCTTGCCCTTGCACAACTCCTAATTATCCTTCCATTAACAATCGGACATTCAACCATTAGTACCTCACCTATCCTTTTTCCTAATTTCATAAGATTACTCACGGTCATAGCCCTTAGAGGTACATTATGAAATTGTACCCAGAAAGGTGACATGTTGAATCTTCCGTCTGATAACACTATATACTCTGTCCATTCTTGGATATTCAGTAGACATCCTGAGATGTACCAAGGTCTACTTCTTAATACCCTAATGTAATCCTCCTCAATCTCAAAGGTAAACAGATATGCATTAATTTCTAATTCCAAGATATCCACCTCCTCTTTTAGCATATTCCAATCTTGTCTAAGCATGCTCATCACCTTCTTGTTGTCCAAAGCTTTCTCCGTCATTAACACTCCCACTAGTCTCCTCTTCCCTCCTCTGTCGCCACTACCACCTGTCCAATCCAATTCAATCGCAGTACCTGCCTCATCCCCTTTTTCTGAATTAGCCTCCACCAACCAAATAGCAATATGACCAGCACAAACAGAAGAAGTAATAAATAAACAGATGAAGCAAAACAACAGAAGAATGGAATTAACTCTTCCCTTGAGTGAGAAAAATGAGAATACTCACTAGAGAGAACTCTCGTTCAAATTTATATGCCAATTACAATGAAAAGGTCTGATTGGATTGACCCTAACAAATTTTCATAGAAAGTTAAGGACATGATCTTAACTGATCAACATCCATTATTACATCAGAGGAAGATTCAGAGGAGTGCTTTTCAGTTAATATAAACATCATACCTGGCTAGTTACACTCTCGGATGGACGGAAATTTGATGAAGAAGGTGAATAGATGGCTATGGGGGGCACTGTGATGGTTGGATCCGCAATGGCAGGAGCGAAGTCACAATGATTATGTTCGCATTGGCTGGAGCAGAACAATCAAAGTAACGTCAAATCACAAGTTCAAGAATAGTCTAAACTTCTTTATTTATGAACAGATTAAGAGACATTTCCCATGTATGTATATATATCGTACCTTGCATTGTCAGTACTAAAATGCATCGGTAAGTCACATAAATTGCTTTCCTTTTCTAAGAGTGAAGAAGAAGACTCTGGAGACTCGGTTTCACATTCATTGACTATGGTTCGGTGGCTCACACTCACTGAAGAATAACAGTGTCTTTGTTCTTCAACATCGGAGGACCTTACGTTTTCCTTAATACATGGCATAATTTCTATGAGTATAGCTTGCAAAATAATGAAACAGCTTTAAAATGCAAGAGAATGTGCCTCAAATTCTTTTAAATCTTTTATGACATCTACTATTTTCCTCTCACCTTTTCTTTAATTTCTAATCACCTTTTTTCTGAATCTCTACTTATTTTTCCTTAATCCTAGCAAATACAGGCTTAAATTCGTCTTTTTTCTTCTGTGTGGTTTCTCTCTTCTGTAATAACTTAGACATGACCAAAAATTATTGGAAGTAATGTGAAATGAAAAAAGCAAGTTGCCAAATATATATGTAGCACACACATATTGAAGTTGTCACTAATTTTAGGCTTAAAATAAAGTAAACAATAGAAATAAATTGGAGTAGCATCCAAGCCAAGATCAATGATCACTATTCAAGGGTGATTATTAGCTACAGACTTGTACTTCGAGGTCAACACAACTTTGTTCTATAAATAGTATGCTTGGGTAGTCATGTAGTGCATCAGGTAGTGAGTAAAAGAAGAGAGGAGAGAGAAGAGGTGCCGCGAGAGTGTGTAGGAAAAAATACAAGAGAAGAAAGAGGAGGAAGAAAGTGATACATGAAGGAGAGAGAAGGAAAAACGCTTGTAATTTGATGTATTTTATAGTTTGAGTTTGCAATAAAATTCTCTTTCATTTAAGTATCTCCTATCATTTTCTTAAAATATCTTAGATTTTTTCCGTTCATAGATCCTACAGCACATGCATGAATATGGCTTTTACACTACAAAATACACACATAGTACTCTCGAGAGAACTTAAAAAAGTGACTTACTTGATCCTCAAGCTCTTGCACAGTTGAAAGGAGGTTTTCAAAATCTATTTTGTCCATGAGCCGCCACCCACACTTAATGGAACTCAGTACATCATTCTTTCGAGCTTCAAATTTCAAGAGGAGCTGGTTGTAATCCATTGAGAAACGCGCACCACTTTGCCTTCCAATTTGCCCGAATAGGATCCACAAGTGAGGTGAACTTATTTCTTTCTCAAGTTCACGTCCAGTTCCATGAAGGAATACAATATCACCATTGGAAGCTTTTGCAAGAAGAGAGAGTCCAAAGGCCTCAGTGGAATAGAACATGTCATCTTCTAGCACAATGCATAACACAAATCCAAGCCATTCACATGGAGGGATGTCTAGTATTATTGAACTTTTAGATTCGGAAAGATAGTTTTGGTTCTCAAACCACGATGGTATCTCCCTCCCTGGAATACTAACTAACAAGGCTTGGAATGATAGTGATGCCAATGAATCAGCATTCAATCTATGCGATAGCCTTTTAGCATATTGTCCACTCTAAAATATAAATTTGGCTATAAGTTAAACAAAATATGGCTTACAAAAACAATCTCTCTTTCTCTCTCACACACACTCTAATACACTTGAATTGGACTTGACATAGGAAAAATTATATACAAGTTCCGAATAAGCTAAGTCCCATCAACTTGTAAAATTATAGTAAGTCTCTAGCGATTTGGTTGTAATTTGTCATGCATGTGAAAAAATCACATTACCCTAATTTTTGAACTGTCTAGTTGTGAATTATGAATTTTTTTATTGTAAATTATTATTTTTTAGTTGTAAATATGAGAGAAGAATGACATTTTTGTGGGCTTATGTTTACAGCAGGTCCTCACGAATTTACAATTGAAAAATTGTAATTCACAATTGGCCAGGTATGAAGTTGAGGCAGTGTGGTCTTTTCACACGGAAGACAAATTACAAGAAGGTCCCAAAGGGCTTGGCTGCAATTTTACAAATTTATGAGGCTTCTGCGTAAATAAGTCCCTAATTTGGGGCTTATTTGTAATTGTTCCTTTGATATATGACTACATATAGACATATGCGTACCTGGTTAAGTGAAGCAAAGAGATGCAACAATTTTACATCTGACAGAGCAGTCAGTGAAGCACAATCTCCTGCATCCATTAGATTTAAACCTGGTGAAGGCTGTGGCAACAATTGGAGCCTTGGGCAAGAATTCAAATAAAGAAATTGTAGATCCAAAAGATTAGAGATGCAGCTAGCTGGTAGATTTACAAACATGTTTCCACTTAGATCTAATTTCTTCAATGATGATAGGCCACCGAGATCGAAATGAATGATTCTATCATCAATATTGCAGTTGCTTAAATCTAAATTTGTCAATGATTTAAGATTGAAGATAGAATCAGGCAACGTTAAGCCCTTAGGACCAGAACAGCATCCATGAAATAACAGTGTCTTGAGTCCTTGTAAATGACCAATGGAAGAAGGTACTTCTGTTATGGCAGTTTTGCTAGCATCAAGAATTTCCAAGGCTTCATTTTCGTTAATGTTTTCTGGCAATTTACAAAAAGCTGAACAACCAGAAATATTGAGAACTTTCAAGTGTTTCAATTTGTGAAAATTAGAGGGAAGGCCAACAAGATATTTGCAATCCCTTGAATTCAAAGTTTGGAGACTAGCTAAAGATCCAAGAGATTCAGGAAGCTTCGCTATACTTGTCTCTTGGACATCAAGTGTTATGAGATTTTTCATATTTTCCCCAAATTCTGGAAGATTTCTAACTAGTGTGCATCCACAAAGAACAAATTCCTTCAAAGAATTCATGTCCAATTTTCTTGGGAGGAATTGAAGATTTCTGCAACTTCTAAAATTCAAAACTTCAACACTAGTTAGGGATCCAAGTGTGTCAGGAAGATCTACTATGCCAGTCTCTTCTAGAACAAATTCTATTAGACATGTCATTTCCAATTGTCTCGGAAGACTTTTTAGATTCACACAACCTTTCAAATTTGCCACAAGAAGTCGTTGGTGTTGTCCAAGCGAAGGATGAATTGCAAAAAGTTTTGTGCAACCTTCAAGGACTAACCTTTCTAAATTTCGGAGTCCATAAAATTCTGGACTTTCAATGAGGTCTTTGGAATGGCTCAAGTCCAAGATCTTTAGATTCTCCATAAACTAGTCAAATAAAAGATATGACAAATCAGCTATAAACAAATAGTCATGATTAACTTAATCAATTAGAGTTATGTGAATGTTTAAATTAAAGTAACTTACTTGTGTACCGTGAGAAAGTCGCTTTATTTTGCTATTGTGCATCTTGAGATATACAAGTTCATAAAGTTTCACATTCAACGGAAGATCTCTGAGAGGATATCCATACCAATGAAGAACTTTTAATGTCCAAGGAAAGCCCATGAGACCACGAGGAAGGTTAAATTTACATGATATGATGAATAATCGAAGCTGACGCATCCTTAAGAAAGATACAGGATTCCAATTTGCTTCATCTTTTGCAAAGGTGAAGGGCAAAACCACACCTTCTGTTGCTTTAGTTCCCTAACATAAGAAAAGCAAACGAGGCATATAAAAATTTAGCTGGAAGAAAATTTGTAACAATATTGTTAGTATTTCTAGAAAATTAATCACTCACCGTATTTCTATTTAGTACTTGATCAATGTCATGAGAAAACCACAATCTACTACGCCTAGCAACAACATCACGAGATTCATCAAAAACAATAAGTCTACCCATTTGTTGAACCAAATCATGCATCTTTATGTACTTGATATTACCGAGCTCAATTTCAACTAGCAATGATTTGTCAATAAGATTTTTCATACCAATTGTTGCCTCAAAACCACAGCTTACCAATATTTGTGTTACTTCATCCTTGCCCCACATATTAAAAAAACAGGCAATATCCAAAAATATTGTTTTTTCCACATGGTTTAATGCAACATAACTTAATCTAAGTATCTTGAAAACATCATTATTTGAGTACTTTTTCAACATATCCAAAGCATCTTCCCATTCAATTCCCCTTCGTCCTGAAAAGAAGGAACCAAAAACACATAGAGCCAAAGGAAGGCCATTTGAATAATTAATTACTAATTTAGACAATTCCGAAAAACTCTTTTTTGGTTGATCTCTTCTAAATGCTTTTTGACAAAAGAGTTGAAGACACTCATCATCATTCATTGGTTTAACCTCAGATACTCCATCCACATTATGGGATCTCAACAAGCAGACATCTCTAGTTGTTATAATTATTCTACTTCTATCACCAAACCACTCCCCGCTTCCAACTAAATTCTCTTATTGGCTCATAAGATTCACATCATCAAGGACAAGCATAACCTTCCTATGGCAAAAAAGGTATCCCGTTGTTTTCTTTCCTTCATGCTTGTCTTCAATTTCTATGTTTCTAATCTTGAGAAGTGCAAGCAGTCTACTTTGCAAGTGAACTAGGCCATTCATTTCTGAGACCTCCCTGGCATTGGCAAGAAAGCAATGGAAGTCAAATTGGTTATGAAACATGTCATAGATAGCTCTAGCAAGAGCTGTCTTGCCAACACCTCCCATACCCCATATTCCTATCAACCGAGCACCATCCAACCCTATCCCTAAGAGAGAATACATTTCGTCCACTCTCCAATCAATTCCAGTCAGTGTATTAGTGTGCCGTGGCAGCAGTTCAGAATGAAATTGGTCCCATAAATGTTCAACTACTTGGTCAATAAGTTCTGTTTCATACCTACAAACACATATATTGAAAAAAAAAAAGATGAATAATAAAAAGATTTATGCATTTGACAATATGAAGTAATTATCAAAATTTTTACTCTCAACTTAAAATTTTGACAATATATTGAAAAATAAGATGAATAATAAAAAGATAAAAAAATTAATCATTTGATCCTTGTAATTTTAATTCAGTTGTAATTCAGTTTCTAAACTTTGACTTGTTATAATTTGGTTCTTATAAATTTAATTTAGTCTCTGAATTTTGTCTCTTGTAATTTAATCCCTATAGTTTAAATCACTTAAATATTTGTCCCTATATTTTAAAAAAATAAAATTATAATGATGAAAAATATGTTAAAATTTATTAGTGATATTTTAAATTACTAAACCCTTTTAATATTTATAAATATTATAAATTTTAAAATTTTAAAATATTTTAAATTTTTATAATTTTATTTTTAAAATATAGGAACTAATATTTAAGTGGTTGATTCTATAAAAATTAAATTACAAAAAGATAAAGTTCAAGGATTAAGTTATGACCAAGTTAAAACTATAAGGATTGAGTTATAATAAGTTAAAGTTTAGGGATTGAATTGTAATTGGGTCAAAAGTACAAGAATTAAATGATTAATTTTTTTAAAAAGATTTATGCATTTGATAATATGAAGTAATTATCAAAAATTTTACTCTCAACTAAAAATTTTCATCCCTCTGAAAATAAAGAACATGTTGACACATGCAAATATCTTGGATGCACCTATGCATTGTTAAATGAATTGACAATAATACATACAAATATCATATACGTTATTCAATTTTATTAATAAAAAAAATTACCCATATTGGCGGGGATTAAATCCAGATAAATTAGCCACTTTTGTCAGAGAATCCCTCCATTTTTGCACCTTGGATTGGTCTTCATGGGACTTCAGTCCAAGTTTGGCGAATGCTTTACTAAAGCTGTTTCGTTGGTTTCTCATGTCAAATGGATCTACATGATAAAAGATGGGGAAAACTTGTTGACCCAATTCATTTCTGGAAGCAAGAATATGTTGAAACTCATCTAAACACCATGAAGAAGAGGCATAATTTTCAGAGAGGACAACAATTGCAAAGCGAGATTCTTCAATTGCTTGTGGCAGCTCCTATGAGATAACTTGTCCCCTTCTGAGTTCATTATCATCCCTGAAAACTCTAAACCCACTCCTATTTAATGCATGAAACAAGTAGTTTAAGAAGCCCCTACGAGTGTCTTCACCCCTGAAACTCAAGAAAACATACTTGCAGGCTCCTCTGGTTGAATTGGAGTTAGCAGAGTTTGAGGAAGATGCTTCTTGGTCACTTGCCATAAATGTTTGAGCCAACTTATGGAGTATAATTTGATGAACCACTACAATAACGAAACCATATCAATAGCCTAAAAGAAAACAAATCAAATGTGAAATGAAACAAGGTAGAAGAAGAATTGTAAAACACTGACCTTAATTAGCTTAATGTGAAGACTTTCAACTCTAATGCTTCATTAATAATTGCATATATAGTACTTGAAGATTTGACATGGGCTAATGAGAAACCGTCCACGATTTGAAAGTAAGGAAGCCGTGATGCAAATCCGCTGACTTTTCCCTTAATTATTGTTTCCCCCCTCGCATTCCCATCATTTTGCATTATTTTCAGATATCTTCTGCTCATTACTATTATTAAAAAGCAAGTGGGAAAATCTCTTCTGATTAACCAATCCAATATCAAGAGGAAGGAGCATCTACATGGCTGGCTTTCAATAGAATTGATATTATCAACATGCTGGGCTCCATTTTCATCGATCTTTGCGGAAAAATAAATAGGGTCCCCAAGTCTATTCTTCTTTCCATGCAGCTTCCCACATGACTTCGACTTGTTTCACCACACTCTAAGACAACCCGTGGCATAAAGACTCCAAGTCTTCCCTCATTATGCTACAATTTTTTTTTTTTTACTTTTTGTTCTTGTATGCGTTTGTGTTAAAATTGATATGCGGGAATTAACTTTTGGATTTCAGGAAGTTAACTTACTCAATTTATTTGATAAAACTTATCAAAGTCTTTTGTTAAAAATAGGCTCATCTTATAAAGCGTATAGGGGACCTGTCAAGAACAGGGCATGAACCGAGGATACATTGAGTGTCGTGAGGGGAGATTGCAAGAAGCCGGAAAGGATTGCAATCACTAGAACATTAAATATAGTGACCAGAATTAACAAATTGAGTCAGATTGAGAGTATCTAAATTCATAAATTAAAATTTAACATAAAGAGGGATAAATTAGTAAATGAGATTTGTTTTAATAAAATTTTTAAGAATATTCTTCATGGCTACTTATTAGCAACTAAAGAAGCTTTACACCAGAAGTACATCAAAGATCCTATGCGTCCAATTTGCTTTGAGAAAAGTGAAACTGTGGAGCTTTGGAATTTTCTATGCTCACGTACTAGGGTGTTGGTCTGATTGCCCTTTGGATGAAATCACAACTGATCAAAATTCATTATTACATTACGAGAATTTCAGCCAATACGCCCAAAAGAATCCCCAGTTCTCATAAACGCCATGCCTGAGTAGGTACATTCTCAAATGTTTAGGTTGGTAGTGGATTCTCTGTCAACCCAATTTCACACTATCAAAAGTTTGGAATAAGTGGAGCCAAATTAAGTATGAAAGAGAGTATTGCCAACACCTTGAAGACTTTTGTACACAACTTTCTTCATCTCTTCAACTTTTTAGAGTTCGAAGAACTACTTTCACCAATAGATTTCAATCCAATCACCATTTTTGCAACATTGTCATCATTTATGCAATTAGATGACGAGATATCTCTAATATGAATGTTTGATGTTCTCCATTTCTTATTTGGTGTATCAAAGGAGGATGACAGCTCGGGCATGGCTTCTCCTTTCCTTTTCATGTTCAAACTGGAAATTCTCATTTGTTCCCCTTCTTGTGTGATGCTGCAATTTTGCAGAAGAGAGCAAGAGTATTATATTTGCAGCAACATTGGACCAAAATAATGACAAAAATTAAATCAGATCGGTTCTTGTAATTTGGATTTTGTAAAATTAAGGAGATAACATACTCCTTTCGTTTAAAAATATAAGACATTTTTTGAGAGGTTAGATGTTAAAAAATGTAAAACTTTTTTAGTCTTAATCATTGCATTTTTTTTTTCAAAAGTATCCAAATTACTCTATCCTTATTTTAGGGTAAAATACTCTATTAAATAATGATAAATATAAAAAAATAAGATTGATTTAAAGACAAGTAATTATTTTATTAGAGCTAAAATTCAATTAAAAATGTCTTACATTTTTTAACGGAGGAAGTAGTATTTTAGAGCATTTGATCTAAATATTAGCCTTCTCTTAATAGTACCAACACCAAATAGTCATATAAAAAGACAGGTACACCTTGTAAAAGTATGTAAACTCCTAATTTTGTAAAGTCTGGTACATAATCAAACATCCTTCAGCAGTTTATTTCATTACTTTCAGACAAAGATTTTTACTATTTACTTTAGAAAGCATAAGTATGTATTATTCATAATTTTGACTTACCTTGCTTCTGTATTGAAGCTCATCCATGATTCATCTAGATGGCCTTCCTCTTCCAAGCATGAACTTGATTCCTTTGCAGATTCATTATGGAAGCTCTCAATTAGTGACAAACAGCATTGACCTTGCTCCTCAAGATTAGAGCGCATTCCATTTTCCGAATTAAAAACACGATTCATTCCATATTTCATAGAATATATCTTAAAAAAAAACTTAATTCGGCCTTTTACTGCAGTGATTGTTCTCTTTCGTTTTGGATGTTACAAATATACTTAAATTGATTGGATGTTGTTAAAAAAAGGATGAAGATGAATTTCATTCAAGAACAGAGGAATTGTACAGAGACTGAGCAACGAAAGGACAAGACAAAACACATAGTTAACAGATCTGCAGAAGCCCTATAGTCTGACTCTATGACCTCTGATTAGGAATTGGCTGGCAACTTCTCAACAGATATGAATATGATAGACAGAATTTGTATACAATTTTTGAGTTTGATACATAACTAGCATGTACACCAATTTATTGACAGAGTTTTAAAACTTCTAAGTAATTTCTCATCAACAATATCTTTTTCTGCATTTTATTCAAGTTTAAATAGGATAGTATCAGAATGATACCAGATTTCAATAACTATTGTGTGAAGCAGTTTTATAAGATATAGAATGTCGTTCTTAAAACTACATAGGAATGAAACAAATAGTAGACAGAACATTTATTGCGCAGTATTTGAAATAAAAATTATAAAGATAATTTACAGAGATGACTTACTCTTTCTTCATAGCCTTCCCACGTAAGGTGACTTTGACCCCTAATTTTTCTCCACTCCTCAAAATCTTCTTTGCTTATAAGACGCCACTGACACTTGAGAGGAAATCTTTCATATGATGTTTGTGACTCTAGAAAATTACCATAAAATTTCAAGTGAAGCTGGTTGTAATCCATGGATAATTCCAAACCGTTTTTTTTAGTAATTTGCAAAAACAGGATCCCAAGATGAGGATAATATATTTCTGACCCAATTTTACTTTGCCAACCAACAAGGTATTCAAACTTATTATCTTCGGAAGCTTTAACACAATCATAATACCAGCAAGGTGTACGGAATTGACTTCCATTTTTCTTAAGGGAATAGAACTTGTCATCTAGAACCAGGCATAATGCAAATCCTAGCCAATCACTGGCACTGTTAGATTGAGGGACATCTATTATTATTGAACTTTCCCCACCCTTTCTCACAGATAAGTAATTTTCGTTCTCGAACCATGATGGTATTTCTCTTCCTGGAATAGTTGCCGCAAAATCTTTAATTAACAATGCTGCTGAGTCTGATACCTTTCCCTCGAAATATGAATAAGACCAGACTGCTGCTTGAGCATATTGGACACACTGAGACAAAGAAGTATCAACTATGCCATGAATTAACCAATGAGAAAAGATACATAGATTGATGATAGATGCAAATTGAATGCACAAATAACATGTACCTCATCCACCAATGAGCCAAACAGATACCATAGCTGTTCATCTGATAGTATTGGTTCCATTGAAGCACAGTCTCCTGCATCCATTAGTTCTAAGGAAGGTGAAGATTGCGGCAACGACTGAAGCCTTGGGCAACATCTTAAATAAAGATATTGTAGTTTCAAAAGATTCAGAATGCAGCCGCGTGGTAGATTCATAAAGTTGTTTCCTCTTAAATCTAATATTTCCAATGATGATAAGCCACCAAGATCTTCAGGAATGAATTCATCACCGATATTACAGAAGCTTAAATCTAGTTGTGTCAGTGATTTCAGCTTGAAGATTGGAGGCAATATAACACTCTCATTAGGAAACCAATGCCATGAGATCCCTTTGCATCCATGAAATGAAAGCACTGTGAGTTTTTCTAACTCACCAATGGAAGAAGGTACGTTAGTTATGGCAGTTCCGCTTAGATCAAGCTTTTCCAAGGCCACATTTTCATTCAAGTTTTCAGGTAGTTTAGAAAATTTTGGACAATCAGAAATATCAAGATTTTTAAGGAGCTTCAAATTCTTAATAGTGTGCGGAAGGCAGACAAGTTTTTTACAGCCTTTCACATTCAGAGTTTCAAGACCAGTCAAGAATCCAAGAGATGCAGGTAATTTTGCTATGGCAGTCTCCTCAAGATCAAGTGCTACAAGATTGCCCATATTTTCTCCAAACTCTGGAAGTTTTTTTATTTTAGTGCATCCACAAAGAATAAATTCCCTTAGAAGAGTCATTTCCAATTTCTGTGGAAGGGATTCAAGACTTGTGCACCCTTTCAAATTTACTACAAGAAGGTTTTTGTTCTGTCCAAATGAAGGATGAATTTTCACTAGCCTTGTACAAGCTTCAAGAATTAATTTTTCCAGATTTGGAACACCCAAAAAATCTGGAGTTCTAGTCAAGTATTTGGAGTGGCTCAAATCCATAAACTCCAGCTTTTCCAAACACTGAACAAACATAAGATAGGAAAATCAGCGATGAAAAATATTAGGGCTAGTTTAATCAATCAATCAATCATGTAAGAAGGCTTAAGGTATCTTACTTCCACACCATTCCAAAGTTTCTTTAATTTGCTATCATGCATTTGAAGATAAACAAGTTCATCTAGCTGGACCCCAAGCGGTAGAGCCTCTAAAGGATATCTATGCCATAGTAGAAATTTTAATTCGCTTGAAAGGCATTTGAGGCCACAAGAAGGGTTCAAATTCCCATGTACGATGAGTAATCGAAGATTAAGCATTTTTGAAAAGGCTTTAGGATCACAATATGTTCCATATGATTGAGAGTTGTTGGGGAAAACTACACCTTGGATCAGTTCAGTCCCCTGATAAGCAACAAAATCAACAGGAGAACAACATAAGAAATAATCAGGAGATATAGAGTATATAAAAAATTTATCAAAAACCTTGGTATATCAGTCACTTACCATATTTCTTTTCAATACTTTATCAATGTCCTTGGGAGACCACAATCTACTTCTTTTTCCGATATTTGGAGATTCTTCAAAAACAATTCGCCTACCCATTTCTTGAATTAAATCATGCATATCTATACATACACCGCCATTAGCTACAACTTCAGATAGCAAAGACTTCTCAATAAGAAGGGGTATATCATTTAATGGATAAAGACTACATATTTTCAATACATGCGTTACCTGGTCTTTGTCCCACATCTTAAAGAAACAAGAAATATCTAGAAATGTTGCCTTCTCAGAATCTCCTAATCCATCATAACTTATTTTCAGTATTCTAAATATATCCTTCTCAGGAACTTGCTTCAATTTATTCAAAGTTTCTTCCCATTGAGGCACACTTCTTCCATACAGAAGGGATCCCAAGACTTGAAGTGCCAAAGGAAGGCCTCCAGCATAGTTAACCACTGCTTCAGATAACTTCAAATAAGCCTCTTTAGGTTGTTCTCCTCTAAAGGCTCTCTTATAAAAGAGATCAAGGGATTCATCTTGGTTCATGATTTCAGCTTTATATATATGACGCACCCCATGTGATTTCAACAAATGGCAATCTCTGGTTGTTATAATTATTCTGCTCCCTAAACCAAACCAGTCTTTACTTCCAGCTAAATTCTCTAACTGGCTATTCAAGTTTACATCATCAAGGACAAGGAGAACCATTTTATTACAACAAAGGTTTTGGATTGTACTCTTTCCTCCATAAGTATTATCAATTATCATGCCCTTTACCTTGAGTTGTGACAGAATTTTTGTTTGCAAGTCAATCAAGCCATTACTTTTTTCAGAAACCTCCCTCACATTGCCCAGAAAGCAACAAATTTCAAACTGGCCTAATAGTCTCTCATAGACAACACTAGCCAAAGTGGTCTTACCAACACCACCCATTCCCCATATCCCTACAAAACGAACATCATCCAACCCTATCCCTAGTAGTGAATCCATAACTTCCAACCTCGGGTCCATTCCTACAAGAATACCATTGTAAGATGGCAGTTTAGAACGTAATTTGCTCCATAATGATTTAACTACCTCTTCAATAAGTTCTGATTCATGCCTGCACACATATATAATGAAACAAATAAATTCTTTGCGGCCAATTTAACATGAATCACATTATCATGATCAAGTAAAGCAACAAAACAGAAATATACCTTTGAATTAGAATAAAGGAGACACACACACGTGAACTGATAGTACAAATACAAATTATGAACTATAAATATTTAATAAAAACTTACCAATCCTTAGAATCCCAACCAGATATGTTAGCAATCATTGTTAAAGAATCTCTCCATCTATGCACCTTCCATTGCTCTTCTCCAAACTTCTCTTCATGCTTGGCAAAAGCTTCAGCGAAACTCCCTTTCTGGTGCCTTACAACGGATGGATCAATACCATAAAAGATGGGGAAAATTTCTTCACAACCCCGTTCATTTTCGGGGTCAATAATCTGTTGAAGCTCATCCAAACACCATGAAGAAGAAGCATAATTTTGGGAGACAACAACAATTGCAAAGAGGGAACCCTTAATTGCTTCGAGGAGACTTGTTGAGATAACTTCTCCTTCTCAAGTTCGTTATCATCCCTAAATGTTTTGAATCCCTTTTTACATAATGCAGCATATAAATGATCTGTAAAGCCTTTACGAGTATCTTCACCCCTAAAACTCAAGAAAACATGGTACTTCCATTTTGGGGTCGACGTGGTGCTTTTTAGACCCTCAGTGCCATTGGAAGATTTTGGAGTTCTAATGTTTGAGTTCATGCTCAATGTAAATTGACGACCCAATGAAAATGAAACCTAAAACAACAGAACAATATCATCAGCTAAAGGAAACTGAATCAAATACGACAAAATCTATTAATGCTTATGTATATAGTTCATACTCATTATGTAAAGCAGTAGTACTATGTATTAACGTTCTTACCTTGACCGGGGTTCACTGCTTAAATTCACTTAACTAAAATGCTGAGAAAATAAAGGCTAAAAGTTGATTCATGATCTTCAATTCTTAATGCGTGATTTGGAAGCAGAACCAGTTTTAGCCTTTTAGGTCTATGAAGTCAATGCGTTCTCACAAGCAAAGGGTGGCGTACTAGCATGCCAAAAAGGAGGAGGGAAAATCGCACATAAGTTTCATTGAACAGATTTATTTATAATTAAATTTTATAAAATTTAAAAATTACAACTAAATCTTTTAAAACTTAAGTGTAATTTATAATTAAAGTGTAAAAACAATAATACCCCTATTGAAAATATAATACATAATAATTGACAGTAATTAGATATCTAAAGTCATAACTATAAAAAAATTGAAAGAATAGTTATAAACAATAAATGTTAAATTTTATTAATAATGCATGATCGATTTAACTATTAGATATGTGAAGTTATAATTGTAAAATATTGAAATGATAGTTATAAATTACTAATAAGATAATTATAAACAATTAGTATTAAATTTTGTTAGTAAAACATGATTGATTTAACTATAAGATATGTGAAATTATAGTTGTAAAATGTTGAAGTGTTAATAGTTGTATACAATTAGTATTAAACTTGTAATAAATGATAGGTTTAACTATTGAATATATGAAGTTATAATTATAAAAAGTTGAAGTGATAGTTGTAAATTATCGATGAAGTAAATATTTTTATTGGTGTAATTTGCTTTTAATAAGGACATTATTGTCTTTGCACCTTACTTTTAAATTACACTTAGATTCGATAGATCTAGCTATGATTTTTAAATTTTGCAAGACTTATCAATCTAAATAACAAATCAAATCTAAACAAGCCACTACAAACATCTGGCTCCAAACACATGCTCTTTAAAATGGCTATATGAATAATACTTGGCTTTAGCTACAATGTTGGCTTCCTAGGTTGCACAGATACAGGTCTAAGTATCGGTTATGATACATTATGATACAACGATATGGTAAATTTTAAAAATTTTAGGATACAGGTGCGGGGATATATGTATTAAAAATTTTAATATTATATATGTATATCCAATTAAAAAAAGGAAGGAAAAAAATAAACTAAATAAAACCAATCCCAAACAATTGAAAATCTAGCCGCCAATACAATTTAAAAAACCAATAGCCCATAAAAAATACCCAATTCTATACAGCCATACATATCAGTTCATTACCTAATCAATAACCTAACTTCTAGCCCAATAAAAGTAATAACCTAACTAGGACTAGAGAGCACTGAACAGCCTAATTCAAAGTCTACTCTCTTACATGAAAATGATTGAGTTAGGCAACTCATAGTTCGATCTTGTTCAGTGATAATTCAAAATTAAAAGAACTGAACTTGGTTCAAAGGATTGGAAAACTGGTCTGTTGGTCTAATATTCAATTAGCTATTTTTTTCCTCTATGAGAGGCAATAATCATTTTAATTTAATAAACTCAATTAAAATAATAAAAACACTTATAATCATAATAAATCCATAATAATTTTCAACAACAAGAAAAAAAATATTTCAGTTATCATTCAAATGATTTAAATTTATAACTTTAATAAAAACAATGCTCAACAAATTTCAACAACACTACATTGCAACAACAATTAAAAATAAACTCAACAAAACTACATGTAATTATTTTCTTAACATCAATTACACTTGATACATTTGTCAAAAATAAATTAATTATAATTATATTAAATAAATTAATAAGACAGACTGAACTAAGTGATGTAGATGTCCAGTCTCCTATCTAGTTCAAGCCAAAGAAACAGTTTAGTCTTTTTAATTTTTTTAATCTTAAAGGACTAGTATTTATAATGACTGAATAAAAAAGTACCATCTCATATTGACTATGTCAGATTGAATTGGAGGATTTTTGTGCATCCTTAATCCTAACTACTAACCACACCAAAAAAAACAGCGAGAGAGGGGCAGGCAAGCACAAGGGAGAAGTGGAGCACGAGTAGGAATAGGGAGGGAGAGGAAGGGAGAGAACTTGACAATCACTCATTGACGGAAGGTCAACGGAAATGGTGAAAGCAAACAAGCAAGTTGCCAGAGGATATGAAAGCAAAGCAACAGCAAGAGCAATAAGAGGAGAGCAACGACGCATATCGAGGAAAGCAAAGTAGAAGCAAGAGCAACGAGAGGAGAACGACGACGCGTATCAGGACGTGTATCCAAGTACCTGACGTGTATCGGATACGGATACGCCAGGTTAAACGGCGTATCCACTCTTCCTAGCCGGCTTCTAGCCATGAAGCCACGGCTTCTAGACATTTTCCTTCGGTTAACGGTCGTTCCTATTGAGTAAACTGTATCTATGAATCTTCTAATCTGTCTCTCTCTTCTAAGCACTGGAGAAGATGCTGCCGGAGACATTGTTTCACATGTATCGATTATGATCTGCGAGTTCTCACTTAGTGACAATAAACTCCATTGTCCTGCTCTTCATGAGCTTCAGAGCAGCTTGCCTTTTCCTTAAAGACATGGCACAATCATTAAGACTATTAATGCCTGAAGAGCTATTTATTAAGACTATTAATTTGGTTTTCTGCAAGTGGCTTTAGTCTTTTACTGAATTTTAGAAAAAATAAACTACTGGCAGGAAAAAGAGTAAAAGAAAAAAAAAAATGCATATTAAGATGGAAAGGGCCTGGCGGCACACACTTAGTGCTCTATTTGTTTTTCCTCAGCACTTATCAAGTTATCTAGGCCATATAACAAATTACTGGATGCCATTTGCAATTTCATACACTACGAAGCTTGTTGGGCAAACAAACAATCCAAAATGACTATGCCACAAAGAGACGAAATTTCAAATGTAATGACACAGAAAATTATTCAAGATAAATAAAGCCCCTCCAAGGTTCCTTTGTGCATATCACAAAGAGACGAAATTTCAAAAGTAATAATTCTAGATAGCTCTAGCAAGGGTGGTCTTGCCCATACCATCTAAGTAGAGTTAGAAAACGGACGGGTTTGGCCCATATGACCTTGGCCCTTAAGGGCTTAAACCCATTTTTTTTAAATATCTCATTTTTTAAAGCTCAGCTTTTATATAAGAGTATAGGTTAGGGCCCATAAGCCCTTATTATTATTACTTTATGAAATTTTTAAAAAATAAAATTTTTAATTATAATATTTTATATATTTTTTAAAAATATAAATTATAATGTTTAGAAATTAAAAAATAGTAGAAATTCTAATTTTAAAATATAAAACATATATTATAAATTTTAAATTTAATTTAAAAATTAAAAATATTTTATTTTTTAATAAAAAAAATAAAAAAGGCCTAAAAGGGCCGCCCGAACCCAAGCCTTTTTTTTCAAGGCCTATCAGGACTAGGCTTGAAAGCTCGATTTCCTTCAAAAATGTCATTTTTTCAAACCCAAACTCTTGTGAAAATGAGTTTAAATGAGCGGCTCTTCAAACCCAACCCTTATTTTTAACTCTACACCAGGGGCCCCAAATTCAAGAAGGATGGTCATGTAGAGTAAATTTAATACAACTCATAAAAATATGAATTATGATTAATTACAATTTCCTTTAATATACACACACACATATTCCTCACAGATTTGGATCCCCTAATTATTCTTTTTCTCTTTTGCTTCTCCTTATCTCATTTTTACCTTTGTTAAAAATTCAATGATTAAGATCTAATATTTTATAGAACTACTAACATAAATAAATAAGTTTAAACTGTTAAAATTTGATCGGTGTAATTGTAGACTGTCATTAAAAAATAAATGAATAAATTTCATTGAATTTCAATTAATTTTTAATCTAGTGTGGGAATGGAGTGAGAAAAAGAAAAAGAGAGAAAAGGATGATGACAGTATGCATCTGCCAAGCAACAAATTTTAAATTTGAAGAGAAGCCTATTAAAAAAGAGAGAGAGAATCATATTCCAAAAATTTTAACCGAGGACTCAAATTCTCTTCACCTTTGAGATAATTTAAACATCAAGTATTTTATAATAAGCAGTTTTAACTAATAATTATGAAGTGAAACATTTTTCAAACTTCTAATTAAATAATTTCTTGTACAGTACTAAACATAACATGAATGGAAGGAATAACAAATGGATAGTTCTTCTAATTAAATAATTTCTTATATTTTTAAAGTGTACTCTTTTCACGATTTAATTATTTCTCACAATTAAAAATGTTTAACAATCTGGAAACGAAAAGATTTGCACACATGTGAACATCTTGCATGATTTGGTACCAAAATGCACTACATCCCGTTAAAAATATAAGTGTTTAATTTTAAGATTTTGATATACAAATGAAAAAATATAATTAATATGTTATACTCCCTCCATTTAAAAATATAAGATATTTTTTAATGAGTTGGGTGTTAAAAAATATAAAGTATTTTTAATTTTTTGAGATGTAATCATTGTCTTTTTTCTTTCAAAAGTGTCTCTATTGATAATAACTTTATATTTATTATACGATATTTAATAAAAATAAATATGAAGAGATAAGATTAATTTAAAGATAGATAACTACTTTATTGAGAGGTGAGATTTAGTTAAAAATGCCTTACATTTTTAAACGGAATTAGTAATTTTTTGAAATTTTAAAATTTTCTCTTATTTTATTTTATAATAAATTAGATAAAATTACATATTTAGTTTTTTAACTTTACATAATACTTAATTTAAATTATTTAATTTTGTAAAATGTCTTTTCATTTATCTAATCCTAGTACTGTTAGTGCTATAAAAAAACCCTAATACTATTAGTTTTATTAAAAAAAATTGATAACATTAAACTTTTAAACGCTGAAAAAAATGTTATCAAGATATATTAAGTTTAATTTTTTTAAAATAATAATCATTGGCACAAAAATTATCATTTGAGACTAATAGTGTTATACTAAAAATATTTTTTATAAAATAAAAGAATCAAATTGAAATCTTACATAAAACTATAAGATTATTGAGGTTATACCAAGAAAATATGAATAAGTATTTTAGTAAACTTTAAAAAACATGTGTAAAATTAGAGGAAAATTTCTCTCATGAAAAGACTTATATTTCAAAATGGAATGAAAAAAAAAAAAGCATTATATCATTTCATTATTTAAAAAAAAAAAAACTTACCTCTATTGTTTAGGATAATGCCAGCCAACTAAGCTGTCAATTTCCGTTAGAGAATCCCTCCATTTTCGAACCTTTTCCTTGCCACTCTTGGGATTCCGTTGAAGCCTCCCAAAAACATCCCCAAACTTCTTCTTTGACGTCTTATATCAGATGGATCTACATCATAAAAGATAGGAATAACTCGTTGACCTCATTTATCTCTTGAGGCAAAATTATGTTGAAGCTCATCCAAGCACCATAAAGAATTCGCATAGTTTTCTGAAAAAACAACAATTGCAAATTGAGAATTCTCAATTGCTTGTAGAAGTGTATCGGTTCTCCCCTCTAAAGTTCACCATCATCTATAAAAACTCTGAATCCTCTCCTCAACAATTTACTATTTAAGTGGCCTATAAAGCCTTGGCGAGTATAAATACTCTAAAACTCAAGAAAACATCATATGTCCAGGTTCTGGATGGATTGGAGTCATCAAAAGATTTTTAGGAAGACGCTTCTTTCTCCTTTGCCATTGGAAGACTTTGGACTATAAATATGCTTCAACTGAGAATTAAACTCATTGAAGCAGAAAAATAGTGATCTCTATATAAGCAATAAACCATATCATTAACTAAAGGAAAGCAAATGGAAATGAAAGAACAGTTGAAGTCTCTGAACTCATCTAATGCTTTACATGTACACAAGTACATGAAGAGGTGTGGTGTGGTTCTTTTTCTTTTTTGCTTTGGCCACAACAGGAACTAATGTATTAAGAACCGGGTCTGAACATTAAAAACCAACCCAAAAAAAACAACTGATCAAAGAAATCCAAACAAAGTAGCAGTAAAAGGAAACCAAAGGGTAAAGGAACCTGATAAAGAGTAATCCTAACCAAACCGGTAGGAGCTGCTAATAGGAAGAAAGCAAGTAGGAATGGGGGCTTAAACACCCTATCAAATGAGCATATCCATTTAGAAGCTATGTAGTAACATAGCCCTCTGCTAACAGAAACAATCTTGAAATCCGCTTGAAGCTGGTCTAACGCAACTAAAAAAAAAAAAAACAGCTTCCACAGTTCCACTCAAACCTTAGCTAAGAAAAGCCATTGCAAGTCAATGCTCGTGAAAATAACATACAACCTTGTCCAACAAAGTTTTGAAACATATCTAAACTTCAATCAAAATAAGCACACAAAAGGTTTAATGTTTTAGAATAAACAAGCCTAAGTTGCACTATTCACTGTAAGTTTGGACGATGTATCAAAACTTATGTAAGCAATTGTAAAACTCAGTAACAGGTCTGACCTTCCTTTTGAGCGGTTGTGACTAGAATTCCTCACAATTTCTCTAGCTCTCAGCTCTTTTCTTCCTTTCTCTTGCTTATGCCTCCCCTTTCTGCAACAAGGGAGCTACTTATGAGGAGGGTGAAGGTTGTGATTGGGCCAAATGTATGGACAAGATATGCTTCTTCGCAGGACAGCTACGAGGAAAAAGAAAAGCATAACCAAATGGAGATTTCAATGCGTACATTGTCGGTGCCATCATTATGATGAAATAGATCATTTGAATTTTGATTTAGATAATCTAAATTTAAAATGTTATTATATATTTTATTTTATTTTTGTTAAAATAAAAATGTGTAAAAATTATAAAATAATTTTAATAATTTTTTATTTTCAATCTGGTCTAATTTAGAGGGTTCAATTTAATATTAAAATTTTTGTAATAATTAAATATTAACAACTTAGATGTTTCAACTCTCACGTGGAAAATGAGTGTTGAAATAGTATAATGGCAATCCGCTGGACTCCATTATCATCAATGTTTGCCAAAAGGTCAAAGAGAACAAGACATGTGAATGAGCAGAGGATGCCCATTGTTCCTTCCATGCTCCTTCCCTCACGACTTTAACTTGTTCAACTTACTTTATAAAAAAAGTTAATTCATTTGTGGGGGCAAAAACAAAGAAAGGAAAAAAAAAAAAAAAGAGACCCATTTTGTAAGGCAAATAACCGACCTGTCAAGAACAGGACATGAACAGAGGACCCGTTTCATGCTTTAAACTTTTAATAAATTATCGATTTAATGGATAAACGTTCTCTTCACCGTTTGGACTAGAAATAAATATCATAGTAATTATAACACACACACATATTGAAGAATTTCCCCTTTTTTCTTTTCTTTTCTTTTTTTTTTACCAGCAATTTCCCCCTTTTTCTAAAATTTAGATTATACATGATTCTGCATTAACCCGGAAAGAAAGTACTGTATGTTCGTTTTAAAAGATGAATGTCATAGATCAGTGTGAATATGCATCTGACAAGCTCAATATAAGTCAACTTACATCACAATATATCTCCAAATCCAACTTACTGCCAATCCATAATCGAAACAAACATAGAACAATGCTAGGCTAGCAAAATAATTATTGTCCCAAAAACTTTTACAAATAAACCAATGAAATAGGATGTTTTATTGCATCTAGTTTTTCAGATATTCCAAAAACTAGGGATTTCTCAATAGGTAGTGTTGCTCTAATACCCAAATCAAAAGGCCATTGCAGTGCCAATCAAAAAGATGGTTGTCACTACTGGACGGCAAAATGGGCTTTGGAATTTATTGTAACTGGAATTTTTTTTTTATCTGCATTAATAACCAACCTTTTCTGAATTGAGAAGGAAGAGCCTCAAACGCCTCACACATTCTTTCATCATGAATAAGGATATCATAAATTTGTGCAGCAACTCAGTGGCTTCCAAATCTGAAACTTGAGAAAGTTCTTCAATTATCTTCTCGGCACTGGTTTGTTGGGAGTCTGGCATGCTAGCCTTGGAAACAGTATTAGGCACAAGCGTATCACCGACAACATGATTTCTCTCTCTTGATGGACTCTGCTTTGAGGCAGCAACTTGTGCACCATCGATTGAATAATCTAAGCAAATGCTTGCTTCCTGTTACAGAAAGAACATAACGTCAGTGAATTGATGCCGAGCATAAAAATGTCATGCCCGAGCAGTCGCACTCTCAAAAGGACAGCAATTTGATGAAGAATGTGTCTCAGATGGGCTGTAATTCGACGAAGAAGGTGACTTTGTGATGGCTGGGTTTACAATGGGGGCAGAAAAGTCACGATGGCTGAGTTTGCATTGCCAGGAGCAGATCAATCAACGTTGCAGCATCAAAATCACGAGCATGAATTTCATCATGGGAAATTAAAATTAAGAGAGAACAATTTCTAATTTCAAATCATGATCTGAAATTCAAATATTTATTATTGAGAGATTCAAAGATGATAAGATCATTTCATGAACTGCATCTGTGAATCTTCTAATTTGTCTGCCTCCTCTAAGCATGGAGAAGATGCCACCTGAGACATTGTTTCACATTATCAATTATGACCTGAGAGTTCTCACTTAGTGACAATGAACTCCATTGTTCTTGCTCTTCATTTCGCCTCAGCCTTTCCATCTAAGCCAGGTATATACACACACATGCACTTTGTGAGAGATTATATATAAATAACTACAAAAAATAAATAGAATATGACATATGGCATATGGACATACCCGGTCAATTGAAGCAAAGAGATGTAATAATTGTTCATCTGACACAGTTTCCAATGAAGTAGATTCTCCTGCATCCATTGTCCATAATCTTGGTCCACATTGCGTCAATAACTCAAGTCTTGAACATGAATTCAAATAAAGAAATTGTAGATTCGAAAGATTATAAATGCAGCCACCAGGTAGATTCACAAACTTGTTTCCACTTAGATCTAATATCCTTAATGATGATAAGCCACGCAGGTCATCAGGCATGGCATCAATATTGCAGTTGCTTAAATTTAATTCTGCCAGTGATTTCACATTGAAGATTGAAGCAGACAATATTAAGCCCTTATGAATTGAATGCCTCCAAAACATGTCGCTCAATGGAAGAGCCAAGCTCCAAGAGCTCGAAGTTGACCATTTGCAGCCATGAAATGACAATCTCTCGAGTTTTTTTAAACCGCCAATAGAAGAAGGTACTTCTGTTATGTTAGTTCCACTTGCATCAAGCACCTCCAAGGCTTCAATTTCCAAGTTTTCTGGCAATCTAGCAAATTTTGAGCAACGAGCAATATCAAGAAGTGCAAGACATTTCAAATTGAGAATGCTTTGAAGCAGGTTAACAAGTTTTTGCGGCTCCTTAGCATCAAGCACAGCTAGATTCTTCATATTTTCCTCAAACTCTGGGAGATTTTTGACTTGCACCCACGAAGAACAAAAACTTTTGGAGAAGTCATTTCCATTTTTTTTTTTTTTGGAACGACTTTAAGATTTTGCAATCTTTCAAATTCAACACTTGAAGTCTTTTGAGTTGTCCAAGTGAAGCATGGAGCTCTACAATATCCTCACAACCTTCAAGTTTTAATCTTTCCAGATTTGGAAGCTCAGAAGAATTTGGAGCTTTTATCAAGTATTTGGAATGACTCAAGTCTAGAAACTTTAGATTCTTCAAGCATTAACCAAAAAAATAAAGGGGAATCAATGGAAAAAATATATTGGCATAGTCAATCTCACTGTCTATACCATCAAAGCGTAAAATATATATCTTACCTGGCTTTTATTCCAAAGTTGCTTTAATTTGCTATGACGGATTTTAAGATCAACAAGTTTATCCAGTTCGGTTCCGGGGGAAGAGTGTCTAGAGGATATTTTGTTCAGTGAAGAACTTTCAAAGCATTAGAAAGGCATTTGAGGCCACGAGTAAGGTAGAAATCACTTGATACAATGATAGGTAATCTGAGGTTAAGCAAACTTGAAAAGGCTTCAGGATCCCAACATGCTTCACAGGATGTGGACGGAACTATGCCTTGTATTTCTTTTGTGCCCTGATAAACATCATCAATTAACCACCAGGAAAATGATATCAGACAATTAAGATAAGAAAATAACAGATAACAGTAAAGGTTGTAAACAAAGTTAATTAAGATCAAGCCTCACCGAATTTCTTCCCATTACTTGATCAATATCCTCTTTTGACCACAATCTACCACGCTTTCCAACATCATTGGGCGATTTTTCAAAGACAATTCTCCTACCCATTTGTTCTAGCAAATCATGCATCAGTAAATGATTGTCACAATCCCTTCGAAAAGACTTCTCTTGAAGAGTTCTTATCCCAATTGTTGAATTAAGACCACAACTTTTCAATAATTGTGTTACTAAATTTTTTCTCATGCCATTAAAAAACCAAGCGATATCTAAAATTATTGTCTGTTCTATATCGCTTAAAGAATCAAAACTTATTCTAAGTATCTTGAAAATATCTTTATGTGGTTCTTTCTCCAACATATCCAAAGCATCTTCCCATTCAGGAACACTTCTTCCATATAATAAGGAACCAAAAACAATGAGATCCAAAGGAAGGCCTCCTGCATAACCACAAACAGATTCAGACAGATCCAAAAAAATTCTCTTGAGGTTTATCTCTTCCAAATGCTTTCTGACAAAAGAGCCGAAGAGATTCATCTGGGTTCATAGTTTTAACCTCATACACTTCCTGCACTCTATGTGATGTCAACAAGTGCAAGTCTCTAGTTGTTATGTTTACTCCCAGCATTTTGTAAATGGATTATATGACTGACATCATCAAGGATAAGTAAAACTTTTCTATTGCAACAAAGCTTTTGGATTATTTTCTTTCCTTCATACGCGTCTTCAATTTCCATGTTGTTTATTTGGAGATGTGAAAGAAGTTTTCTTTGTAAGTGAACTTCGCCATCTCTTTCAGAAGTTGTCCTAACATTGGCAAGAAAGCAACTAATATCAAATTGGCTATGATATTTCTCAAAAACAAACCTAGCAAATGTCGTCTTACCGACACCCCCTACAAACAGAACATCATTCAAACCTATCTTCAAGAGTGATTCCAGTTGTTCTGCTTTACTGTCAATTCCAATTAGTTTTTCACCATAAGGTGGCACTCTTTCACGTAATTTGGTCCATAACTTCTCAACCACCATTTCAATGAGTTCTGCTACATTCCTACAAGTACAAACAACATATGAAGGGACATGCATGTGATATATTTAACACAAATCACTGATAAAAATACAAATTTTGATTCTTTCTATATTTACAATCTGTTACTTCAAAATTGACCCAAAAAAAAAAAAGAGAGAATCTGTTACTTCAATTTCTGCAATTGTTAATATTCTTTTCCTTCTGGATTATCAACATATTTAAACAATTTTAAGGAGCCAAGACATGTATGTGTAGCTTATTCCATTTTTGTTTTAAGAGAGGGCTTTAATTGATAGTGTAGTTTGAGGAAAAAAAGTTTTCACCGTGAAAAAAAACTAAATTAACAGTGAAAAAATAAATTTAAAAGCATTAATTTCTGAGAATGAAAATAATACGGAGAGTTTTAAGCCAACTAGTGGAGTTTGACAAGGGACCCCATCTCTCCTTACATATTTACTCTGTATTGAAAGATTGAATAATGTGAGTGAGGATGCTATTGAGGACCAACCTTGGACTCCTACCCAATTAGCTACAAGCGGCCCCAAAATTTCCTACTTTTTCTTTGCTAACGATGTGATTATTTTTGGGCAGGCATCTTCTTTTCATGTAGATATTATGGCGAACGTATTGAAAGGTTTTGTAGTGCTTCAAGGCAGAGAATGAACAAGTTGAAGACAACAGTTTGCTTTTCCAAGTCCATTCACTTCTCTAGAGCTCTTGAGTAGTCAAATGGATGTGACATTAACTGGGGATTTGCGGAAATATTTGTGAATCCCTTTAACTTACAAGGGGGCTTCCTATGTACTTTTCGCTCCTATTTTGGAGAAAACACAGAAAAAACTCACTAGTTGGAAAAGGAGATTTCTTAATATGACTGGAAGAGCAACCTTTATTAGAGCAGTTTTGTTAGCCTTGCCTTCATACCACATGTACTACTAGGGCTGACGGAAGAGACTGGACGGCACTGGACTTCACCCTAACCCCAGGCATAAAGGCCCTAGAAAGACAAAATGAGACTTTCATTGTGAAATTTTGCTGGAATCTAGTCAACAATGAAGATGCCTTATGGGCTTGTGTTTTGAAGGTCAAGTATAAATATGATAATAATAGCTTGTCTGCAGTCACCAAAAGAAATAATAATTCTTATACGTGGCACAGCATTTGTGAGGTTTGGAAAATATTTAAGGAAGGATTGGGGGAAAATTTGGCAATGGCAAGAAGAATTCTTTCTGGTTCGATAATTGGTCTGCGAAGAATGTTCCTCTTATTGTACTCGTGCCAAATAGAGAAGGAATGATTGATAGGAATGAGAGGGTTGCAGACTATTTTGATCCTAGAAGGCAATGGGACTTGCAAAAACACAATTACTGGTTACAGCTCAATACAATGGCCTATCTTACCCCATGCTTAAGGGTAAGCATCAGTCGATTCGGTTTGGTCTTAAAATATACTTAACCGATCGATCAAATAACACTAAAAATAAAAACCAAATTGAACCGAACAAGGACTGAACTAAAATTTGATAATTCGGTTTGGTCAATTAATTCGGTTTTTTGGTTTTATATTGGGCTATTGAAATTGGACCCATTTTTTAAATGTTAAAACAAACAACACTACAAAATTGGACCTTTTTTATTCATTTTTTTTCAATATGAGCCCATTTTAATTACACCCATATAACATAAAGCCCAAATATTATAAAGGCATGGATAATCAAATAAACAACCATAAATAAACACCGATGATAAAATAATGGCCCCATAATCCAGTCACAACACCTACTGATGAGAGTGACTGACCGAAATAAGGTTTCAAGTGATATTATTATTTTTTATTTTTTATTAAAATAAAAAATAAAAATAAAATAAAATAATTTATAAATTAAATATAATTTATAAATTAATAAATTATATGCAATTCGGTCGATTTGGTTTATTCAATTTTAAATTTTACTCACCGAATTGAACCGATCAACCGAAATATTTAAAATAAAAAAACTGAATCAAACCAAAAAAATCAAATAGACCGAATCAAATAGACAAAATTCAATTCAATTTGGTTCGATTTTCGATTTCGGTTCGGTTTTGCTTACTCCTACCCATGCCCACCCACCTAGTGAGGGGAAAAAGTGGATAAACGCTTTTAGAAACTATCTGTGAATGATTGCTTTAATGTCACATTTGCATATTGCTTTTTGTCTGCAAGTACTAGGAGGAATGTTGATAACATTTAGAAAAAGATTTGGAGATAGGTGATACTAGAAAAGATCAAATTTTTTATGTGCCTATTCACATATATGCAAGCATATATAGTGGAATTGAGACAGCGAAGGGGATTAACAATTGAGTGGAACTATTGTTTTGGATGCGACATTTTGGAAGACTCAATGCATATGATTTGTGATCATCCACACGCCAAAGAGAAGTAGAAAGAGTTTATGCAAGAAAGGCACTAGAGCATCTTTACCACCCTAACTAGGGCGGAATGGTTTAGTTGGAATCTTTCCCATGAAGCTGGCAAAAGCTACAAGAAGAAGGTGAACTGGGGATGTTCTTGTCGAGTATATTTGTTGGGATATTTAGGTAGAAAGATTTAGGAAAAATTTTTGATGTGGAATTTGTTGATAATAGCTTCACTACACTATCTACCTTTTTTTGAGCATGTTCAAATATGGATCTTATCAAATTACTTTCATACTTAAACTACAAGAAACATCAATTAAGAGACTATACTGTTGAAGAATTGAAGTAGCTAGACTCAAGGTGGATGGATATGTGAAGTTTGATGGTAGTGGTGGGTGTGATGGAGTCATTTGGGATGAATAGGGAATTTGGGTTAAGGGTTTCAATTGTAACCTTATTAATGTTCCTCTGGTGATTGCAGAGATTCTAGCTATCATTCAGGGGTTTCAAATTTACTAGTATATGGGATATAGAGACATAGAGATACATAGCAACTATACTCATGCCATCCAATTGTGTCACGCCCTAAAAATTTAACATAACCAACATAAGATATATGCACAAATTCACATCCCTAAAGCTTCAATTAAGAAAAGTTATAAATTAATATATCAAATTTTACTTTTCACATAAATTAAAATGTCAAACTTTTTATAAAAATTTCTGCAGCACCTCCCTTAAATGTAGGGTCTTTCGAAATCTCTACAACAATATAGAGCTTTTCCCCTCAGAAGCAAACAATTAACATAACAAAAAGGAATCAAGACCCTAACTATAGTTAATGTGGAGCACTCTAAATCGGACTTCCAAAAGATACTACATAGGTTTTTGAATTTTACATGAATAAGATGATATTCTCAAAAGTAATCTTCTAGTCAATTCAGCAACGAGCCCATCAGAGATCAGCAGGGAGTATAAAATCAACTATGGTATCTGAGACCAAATAAAATACTTTTCAGTGAATAACATCTTAACAACAAACAATTAAACATGAATAAAATGAAAGTTTGAAACAATTGTGTAAGTTAAAAAGACAAAGATTTTCATAAAAATTTAGTAAACTTTTAAAATAAAATGGCTCTATATAACTTTAAATAAAACTTTGAATGACTAAATTATCAGATTAAATATTGTTATAAAGAAAGCAAATAAAAAAAATAAATAATTATAAATAAATTACTCAATAAAAATAATGAGATGTAAAATCACCAAATAATTCTAATTTATAATTATAAGAACTTATCAAAATAATTAACAAACGTGGATACACAAACCACGAGGATAAATAATCAAATGCGACTTATGCCATGAAGACAAACGTGAACATATAATCCTTAAGAATAAATAACCAAATAAAACTAAAGTCATGAAACAAACATAAACACATAATCCACGAGAGTAATGCCAGCTAAACCCAGCTCGAAGCCACAAAAACAAATGCGAGTATGAGAGCCACGAATAACAAATGTGAGAACAAAGCTCATGAAAATAAAACTAGCCAGTCATTAACCATGGCACGCCAAGGGCTAACGGAACTGCCAATATCAATTCTTTTAAATATGAAAATTTTCAACTAATGTTTCATAAACTTTTTCACTAATTTTTATGATTATCTTTATTGAATAAAAGAGTACTAGAATTTATATAAGCATTTTCGTCAATCTTATAAGTATATATCATGACAACTTGAAGAGCTAAAGAAATTTAATTAACAACAATATTCAGTACTAAAGAAACATATTAATAATGTAAATTGTCAAAAATAATATTTGATAGGAGGGAACTTGCAAATATATAAAAATTGATTGGGACGTTATCCACTTACTTGTCAAATTTTAAAATTCAAAAAGTCACTCCTTTTCAACCTTTACTAAGTTCTTCCCAGCTTCCTATATAAATATAAAAAATTTTAATGGCCTATACTTGAATCAAACAAGTTACCTTTCAAAAATCAACTCAACTAACATTTAACAATAATAACTTTAGAGTTTTAGGACTGTAGTTTACACCTAAAACTTTTATCATAATTTTTAACTTTAGCTAATCACTTGACTAAAATATAATCTTCTCTTAGGCTTTTTGTTAAGCATATAGTACGCAAATCTCTAAACCATTCACTAAAACTTCCTAATTTTCAAACTTTACTCAATAGTTTCCAAACACCAATATCTAGATTTATCATACTTTTCAAACTTAGCATCCATCAAAATCAAGTTTAAGTTTAAAGCAAACTAACTCTAAATTCTTCTTCTTAAAGTAACCAAATCAATCAAGTGAGATTACCTATCAAAGATGAGCTCTATCAATATAGAGAATTTTCCACATTTTCCAGAGGGTAAAGAATCTTCTTATCTAGTTACAAAAGCTCCATTAACACTAGCATTATAGATAAGATAAAAGAAACTTGGTTAAACATGATGTGGCAAGAGAAACCTTATCAATTGAAGTTTATGTATCTTATTAGTACCTAAATGCTTTAATCAAAATGTTGCATTAATTAAACCATCCCACTGCATAGTACTAAACGGTATATGTTGACACCAAACGAACCAATAGATTACTCCCTTTTTAAAAATTACAATTAACAACATTCGAATTAACCAAGCTTTCAAATTTCCACTTTGTCAACCATATAATTAACTTACAAACTCAAAGGAAACCAATCAAATCAAGCTTTCAAAGTTCCATGCCTTCAACAGATAAATCAATCTTTAACTCAAGAATATTAAATCCTTATCTCCACATTACTCATGGCAGCAAAGAAAGGAAGAAGAACATTTTCAATATTTCAACCCACAACACAAGTATTCAGCAACAAGGAAGTAAAGGATCAAAGTTTATTACCTCAAACCATCAACAACACAAACAAGAAGTAAATCGCAATGAAGAATAGAGGAGAGGAAAAATTTAGACCCACTTGTCTAACTACACATACGAAGGAACACAGCTAATGTTGGCAAGGAGACGAGAAAGAATCTTTGATGTCGATTCTAGCCGGTGCTCTTGTGGTGTCACGCCCAATAGAGCAACGAAGAAGAAATAAAGATTTGATGCTTCCTGCAGCTACACACACTTGATGGTGGCACTTAAACAAGGGAGAAGAAGAGTGATGTCATAGGGGAAAGCAGAAAGACTAATAGATTGAATACACCCATACGCCAATTCCCACAACGCAAAATAGAGGAACATGCCACATGACTCTAACAGAGGAGAAGAAAGGACTACCAATAATGGAGAGTAGAGGAAAGAGCAACACGAATAGAGAAGGAAGATCAGAGAATCCAGTGACCTAACCCACTGTGGCCGACGAAAGTGAACAAAGAGGAGAACAGTGGATGAACTGACGGCAATGGGAGGAGGAAAAAAGCAATGAAGAAAAATTGTGATCCTTCTCCATTTGAGCTTGTGAAGTCGGTCGAATGGAAGAGAAGAAGAGAAGAAAATAAAATATAAAGCTTGTGAAAAAATGA